ACTCATAGAATGGCAGATGTCCTAAATAGCACTCTGGCCTCAGAATCAGCCCTAAAGGCATTCCGATCTGGCTGAAAAGCCCATGAGAGTATTTCAGGCATGGAAAGCCAAGACACTCTGGCAAAAGATCTCTGCGAGTGAGATCCCAGTGGAAAGAACAGGTCTTCAAAGAAGGAGGTACCTTTCTCTGAAGGGAGGAGAGAACCTCCACTTTGACTATGACCTTGTCTAAACAAGATAAGAATCGGAGAACTCAGAGGGCTTCCATAGCCTTGGAAACTCATGACCGGAGCATAGGGAGACTACTGATGCCATAGACAGGAGTGTCAATTGGTAAAGTCAACAACAGGAGTCACTGTGCACTTACTCCTCATGTAGGATCTCTCTCCTTAATGTGCTGTGTATTGAGATTTAATGCTATAACGAGTACTCAAACAATATATTTCACTTTGTTTTTTTATGGGGGTGCAAACTGTTGAAATCTTTACCTAATGTATACTAAACTGATCCTCTGTAAAAAAAAAAAAAAAAATTGTCAACTCCCAACTTGACTCTCACTGGGATTAAACATGACAATAGGTCTGATCTAATTTCATCATCATTTAAAAAAAATCATCTATTATTTTTCACTTTTTGTTTTTGTGTGAGCAAACTGTTGAAATCCTTACTTAATGTATACTAAGCTGATCTTCTGTATATTAAGATAATCGAAAATGAATCTTGATGTGAATGGAAGGGGAGAGGGAGTGGGAAAGGGGAGGGTAGTGGGTGGGAGGGACGGTATGTGGGGGAAGCCATTGTAATCCATAAATCGTACTTTGGAAATTTATATTCATTAAATAAAAGTTAAAAAAAAAAAAAACAAAAAAAAGAAATCTGTTGTCATTTTACACTGTTAGGATGTGCTTACTTATAATGTATTTAATATTTTCATTTGATTTTTATCACTTAATCTTACATTAGTACAGACTCTAATTGCTTTTTCTCCTAACAGAATTTCAAATATTGGGGCCAGCGCTGTGGTGCAGCGGGTTAACACACTGGCCTGAAGCATCGGCATCCCTTATGGGTGCCGGTTCTAGTCCCAGCTGCTCCACTTCTGATCCAGCTCTCTGCTGTGGCCTGGGAAAGCAGTAGAAGATGGCCCAAGTCCTTGGGCCCCTGCACCTGCGTGGGAGACCCGGAAGAAGCTCCTGGTTTCAGATCGGCCGCAGCTCTGGCCGTTGTGGCCAATTGGGAAATGAACCATCGGATGGAAGACCTCTCGCGCGTGCTCTCTCTCTCTCTGCCTCTCCTCTCCTGTCTTCTTCTCTCCTCTCCTCAACTCTTTCAAATAAATAAATAAACCTTTAAAAAAAAAAGAATTTCAAATATTGAAGGGCATGATTTTTTCCCTACTAAATTGTCTCACCCCCAAATTTCAAGAAATAAGTAAGCTGTTATAAAGAGCAATCAAAGAGGGCCTCTTATCATTTCTTGACCATCCGTTTTCCCCTTTGAAAGACTCTTTCAAAAATGCAGTTCTGATTTGGTTACACTCCCTGGTGGTTAACCCTTCAGTGGTCTCTAATCACCTTTGGGATGATTTCCATTTTCTTTGCATGGACAGAAGATTGCTCAGAATCTGATCTCCACATACTCTGTCACATCCCTAAGCACAGACCACAAGCCATACAGACCAACTAGCAGGTGTTCACAGGAAATAGTCAACTTTTGTTACGCCTGACACACTTTGCCTTAAAGTTAAGCCTGTAATTCATTTCCTACGGATGCTGTAACAAATTACCACAAATTTAGTTAGCTTATAAACCACAAATTGGGGCAAGCATTATGGCACTGCAGGTTAAGCTGCCAGCTAGAATGATGGCATCCCACATGAGTGCTGGTTTGCGCTCTGGCTGCTCTGCTTCCTATCCAGCTCCCTGCTAATGCACCTGGGAAAGCAGTGGAGGATGGTCCCCAGGTGCTTGGGCCCCTGCACCCATGTGGGAAGCCAGCATGGAGTTCTAGGCTCTTGGGTTCAGCCTGGCCCAACCCTAACTATTTGCTGCCATTTGGGTGGTAAACCAGCAGATGGAAGATATTCTTCTATGTCTCTCTGTCTCTCCCTCTCCCCTGTAACTCTTTCAAATGAATAAGTAAATATTTTACACACACGTAAACATACACAAATTTATGGATTGACAGGGCTGTATTCTCCCTGGAGACTCTAGGAAAGAATTCATTCCATTGCCTTTCTACTTCTGAAGGCTGCCCACATTCCTTGGCTTGTGTCTACATAATTTTGCTATCATATCTTCTCTCACCCTCTTGTCTCCATCTTATGAAGCCTGTGATTTCCTCAGACCCAACAAGAATATCTTCCCATTACAAGATCCTTCATTTAATCACATCTGCAAAGTCCTTTCTGTCATATAAAGTAATGAGTTCACAGATTTGAAGGACTAGGACACACTGTGCCATAAGCGAAATGCCACCAGGTACACAACTATAAACAAGTTGTATTTACTGCTCATTGAAATTAGTTTTGTTCGCTCCAAAATGCATGTTGAAATTTTGTCCCCAATGTGTTGAGAGGTGGTGGGACCTTTAAGTTTTGAGGAGGTACTAATGCCACACTCAGAGGACTGAGTTAATTCTTTATCGAGTGAGTTCTTGCTCTCATGGGACTGGGTTACGTTGTTGAAAGTAAGACTTCCCCTAATGCTTTGTCTCTTCCATCAGTGCCTGCTTATCACAATGTTACAATGCAGCATTAGGCCCTCTCCAGGTCTGACCACCTGATCTTGGCTTTCCAGCCTCCATACTGTGAGTCAAAATAAACCTCAACTCTCTATAAATTACTTAGTGTTTGGTATTTTATTGTACTAACAGAACACAGACTAAGACTGGTGTTAGAATAAACCTTTTACAGGCTCTGTGCTTGATTGGGTGATTTGGGAGAGGCTCTGAGGTCACAAGGGTTTCCTTTAGATTGGATGCTGTCAGTAAGCAGGAGTTAATCCAAGGTTGGGCAATCTCAGTGAATTTTGTGTATAGGAAGCAAGGCAGGAGAAAGGCTGCAACCGGCAAAGAAGCAGCATTCATTCATTTTGGCAAAGAGAGGGAACACCGAGTATTTTGTGGGTGGCATAGAGAACTTTTTTTTCCTGTGTTTACAGGAAGTTATGAAATAGCCTTGCTTTATCTCATTTTTTCATTGTTTCAGAGTAACCTTGTCTAGAGTTGGTATTCCATGAAACTGTTTATGCCTATTAGGAAAATAACATGGTCTAGCTGTAAGTGTCAGGCCAGCTTCTAAATGCCAAGGATTACCCCCTTGTTTTTTTGCTTAACACATTTCTTCAACAATTATTTTATTTGGCTCTCAGTGCTATGGAGCCAGGCTCATTAAGCACTGGTCATGCACCAGTAAGCAACACAGACATGGTAGCTGCCCTCATAGAGCTTACATTTTATAGGTAAACTGATATTCCAAAAGAGTAAGTAAAATCCTGTAGTAAATAAGTGTCAGAACTAGGAACTGTATTACAGTTTGTCTCTGTACCCATTCCAGGTTGCCTGCCCTTCTGAGGCTTGGGTCATCTATTCCCAGCCACAGGTTTTCATAAATGAAATACCCATGCGGTAACAAGTAAATCTGTCTTTCCCTCCATCTACCAAACCCCACTAGTGACAGCTCCATATGTCAGAATTAAGTGTTTGATTTTGAGAGACAAAGAACTAGATAGACAGAGATATTGCATGGGGGCTGGTTTACTCCCCAAATACCTGCAACAGTTGGGGCTAGGCCAGGTCAAACCCAAGAGCCTGGAACTCAATCTGGGTATCCCATGTGGGTAGCAGGGACCCAATTACTTGATTCATCACTTTCTGCCTCCTAGAGTGTACATTAGTAGGAAACTAGATTTAGAAGTGAGGCTGTACCAAACACCTGCCCCTTCTTAATTTCAGCTGTCTGCTATAAACCTAGGATAGGCTTGCTGGGATTGATCTCAGAGTGGAATAATACTGACAGAGTATACCTGAGAGAAACTCCTTTTTCACTTTTTTATTTAATCTTCAAAAGTTTCCTGAAAAAACATAGGTTCTCCTGTCCCATAGACCTTACATTCAATGTATCTGTCCTTATTCAAATCTAACCTTAGTGTGTTTAGCCTCTATGTATTTGACTTAGTGTTTAAAAAAAAAGATTTAGGGAGCCAGTGCTGTGCCAGCATCCCATATGGGCACTGGTTTGAGTTCCAGCTGCTCCACTTCCAATCCAGGCCCCTGGTAATGTGCCTGGGAAAGCAGTGAAGGATGGCCCAAATGCTTGGGCCCTTGCACCTACGTGGGAAACCCCAAAGAAGCTCCTGGCTCCTGGCTTCAGATTGGCCCATCCCCGGCCTTTGTGACCATTTGAAAGGCAGAGTGACAGAGAGAGAGAGAGATCTTCCATTCACTCCCCAAATGCCTTCATCTGCAGGGTCTGGGCCAGACCAAAACCAGGAGCCAGGAACTCCATCTGGGCCTCAAATATGGTTTTCAGGGGCCAAAAACATGGGCCATTTTCCACTGCCTTTCCAGGAGCATTAGCAGGGATCTGGATTGGAACCCAAGCAGCCAGGGCACAAACCAACACTCCAATATGGGATCTAGCATCACAAACCACAACTTAACCCTCTGTGCCACAACACCAGCCCTGACTTTGGTTTCAGAATGGAATTCTTTAAAGAACTGGTTGATTATGGCC